AGAGCGAGAGAATAGATTCATTCATAGGAAAATGGATACATATTGAAGATATACTCCTAAGTGAAATAAATAAGTCACACATGTGTAAATACCAAATAGTTTCCCTGGTGTGAATATTCTGCAACAATGCATAAGATTCTAATAAGATTACTGACATTTAGAAATTTGAAGAAAGGAGCTAAAGGTGTAGGAAAGGTGTGATGCGTAGGGGAAGAACAGAAAGGGAAAAAGAAAAAAATGTGAGAGAATGAAAAGATGAAAATAAAGTGTTTGTAGATGGGGAGGGGAGGAGGGGGTGAAGGGAGGGCAGAGGTAAGGGGAAAAAAATGAGAATCAAGACTTGCCATGTAAAGGTACATGATCCCAACAATGAATGTAACTGTACTGTATCCCTAAATGTACCAATAAACTCAATAAAAAACAAACAAACAAACAACAAAAAAACAAATGATGGATTCCAGCCCTTAGTAGCTACAACACTGTATTTACAGCTCAGAGTTCAATCTCATTTAATTCTAAAATGGGATTTACTTTTTTGACTTTAAGATACATTTTCAGATGATTAGGAGATGATTTGTCTGCAAATGAACTTTATAGTTTCATTTTTATGTGTTTTTGGGGGACATAATTTTATGATTTTAAAAATGATTAATATACATTTTCATATTTAAATACATTTTTACTCAATTTATCCAATATAATATTAATTATGTTACATATATGAAACTTTCCAATCTTTTCTTTAATTGTACAAATTGTGACGGAAGGAGAGGGCTCATTTGACACCTCCAGCCCAGTTGTGGATAGATGAGTCGGGGAGAAGTCTAATGTGGATCGTGTGTGTACTTATATTCCAAGAAAACAAAGCATGATTTGAGTCTGCACCAAATGTGAAATATAAACCATGCAAAGCTTTTGTTGTCTTAACAATATTCTGACAGATTTCTTTCTGTTTAAATGTATATTTAAAACTATTACTGAATGGTAGGTATGCTTTATAGAAGAAAACCTAAAATTTCCATTAAAAAAAGTTATCAGAGTAATTGAGATACTGGTTAAAAGAATTCTAAATATATACTTTTGGAATTTTATGTATAGACATTCTTCATGGAACCTAAGACCATGAAATGTGTTAACAAATTATCTATTTCTAATAGTGGTGTTTTGTTACTGTGCTTATTGATTCTAAGGATAAAAATGCACTATATTTTTGGGCTCTGTAATTAAGTAAAGCGAGGGTATGCGGAATGTTATATAAATGTGACCCAAACTTGCTTTTACTTGGATAAATAAAATCATAAATATTTTACTTTTCAATCTCTTTCCTGAACACTTTAACCACAAGAGTTGACATTTGGAATAACTGCATTGAGATAGAGGTCAGTGTATATTTCTCACTAACCCAAGGGGTTAGTAGAAAGAGGAGTAAGAAAGCTAGAAATCTCACTACATGTATTTTCCCACTTGTAGAAAATAACAGGTTTATTTTAGTTATATTTAATAGAAAGCTTCGTATATTTAAAATTTCATCAATACTTTTGCTTGGAGGAAAAAAATAGCAAGGCATAATACAAAATATCATCTAACTTTTTACACGTGCAATGACATTTTTGAATAAGTGATGAAGGAGATTCTATTGGTGAACTGCAATAAATAGAATAAGGTCCACATGTCAAGCAGAAACATAAAACAAAGTAATATATTTCAAGTACAACAGCTTGAATGGAAAAGATATATACTTTGACTATGTAAGTATTTTAGTCCATTCAAAAAACTGATAATAAAATATTGCAAATATTTGTTTTTTCTATAAAAAATACTTTTGATTTAATAAGTTTTGTATAGGATTTATTTTTATATTGCTCTGAGTAATGATCCAATAATATTCAGTAGTCTTTTGACCAATTCAGTAACATAATATTGATACCACAATTTCTGATTTTGCCAACTAAGAAAGAGAAATTCTCTTTCAAAACAAGTTGTATATTATGATCTATTGTTATTATTTCCAGGCAGCACAGATTCTTGAGCCTGAACTGAAGCACATTTTTTTCACAAATTATTTCATCTGAAATATATAGTTTAAATTGGATTACCTCAGACTTGAAGCAAAATAAAGCTTTTGTAAGGAAAATTTTCAAAATATTTCAAAATTAAAGGATTATTCAAATGGACCCTTAATGCTAAGCTAGCTTATTTTAATTATATTATCTCTTACCTCTGGACACATACAAGTCTAACCTTTATGAAAAGAACCATTTTAAAACAACAATGTGCAATATCATTTTTACACATGGGATGCTAATATTTTATCAAAGTTCAATTAACATATGTAACACCCATATGATAATGACCGGTAGAGACTGAGACTTCTAAAATTGGCATACGTAAATTACCATGTGATGATTTGCTTTATCAGTTTTCTTCATTTGTACTGCTTTGATATTGCTTGACTTTTACTTGCCAAAGAAAAATATTTACATATTTAGTATTCCGGTGCTCTTTTCACATTTGCCTATAGCAGTCAACATAATCTTATTTTATTTTGCATCAACATGGTTGAAAATAAAATGCAAACTTTGGCACAAATATTACATCACACAAATTCAATCATAAAATGATTATCAAGAATATTCACAATATTTTGATATATCTTTAATACTAACATCGAATAAAAAAACGACCCTTAAGTAATCAGAAATAATTTGTGGCTTGTGAAATATGCAGACCCAAAATGAAAATCCTAAATCAGTAATATGGTGAAAGTGTTTGTATTCTTCATAACCTACTGAAATTCCCAATGGTGTTCAAAACCACTGAGGTAAAGAAGTCCAACCATATTCAAATAGGGCATTTTAAATCTTTAGCCACTCTGGCCATGTTTATATTTATTTATGAAATATGTTTCACAACTTCTTATAAGAGAAATATTCTGTATATGTCATCTATAACCTTAAAGTCTAATTCTAAGGGAGACAGATTTTTTGCAAAAGCGAAGGGGACCAAGAGATGCAGGAAGGATGGAAGAAGAAAAGGGGAAAGGGATAAAAAAATTAAAATATAAGTGTACCAACTCCTTACAAGGAATGTCAGCATTCTATACTGCAAACATATACCGATAAAATAAAAAACAAGAACAAAAAGAAAGACAATGAGTAGAAAGCAGACTCCCTACCTTTTGTTCTCTCTAATTGCTTTATCGCTCTTCTTCCAAGAGATTTTTGGTTTTGGAGAGCCTTGGGGTTTGCACTCTATGATGACTTCTTGATTTTTGGTAACAATTATTGTTTTCTTCAGTTGATTCAGTGCAAAAGTAGGTGCTGAAGCTATTAGAAAGAAACGGTTAGTTCTACTAGAAACAATAATCTGAAATGAATGAATTCTCTAGATTTTGTAACTTTTTACTCTAGGAAACATTTCTCATAAAATCATATATATATATGAGTAACAAAAATTTTTATTATTAATTAATGGATGTCTTCCTGGCTCTGCTTTTACTAAGAGATGATAATTTTACACAATATGTGGTCAATGAATAAATACTGTCTCATAAAATGACAAGCTGTAATAAAAATTACCAATTTTAATTTTGAAAGACTAATGAACAACTGTGGCAAAAGACCAAGGGGCCCATTGCAGGAGTCTGGAATAATTTATATTACCTCTTGGAGAATAAAACCCTGTGTCCTGCATTTCACACCTATGAATCTTCATTTTACTTTAATGTCATACAAATTGGATGTGATTTTTAAAAATACATTTTTAACAAATGGCATTGAGTTTCAATTCAAAATTTTGTGTCATGTGTTGCATTTATTCATCTAAGTCTGATTATTCATTAATATTAACATTGTTTTTGTTAGGTATTTTATAGATGCTTTTGACTGTGAAAGATATGCCCCAAAATTTATGGTATCTGAGATCTTTATGTCATTTGGATCATTTCATGTATATTTCAATAATATTTTATGTTCGTAACTTGCAGTATAATGTATGGCACAAGAACATTCAGATTTATATTTATTACAATTTATATTTTTGGTTGAAAAAGCATTTATAGGAGATAATTTTGAAAATATGTATAGTGAATAGGATTTCAGAGTGTTTCTGGGTAAACTATTAACTAAATCTAGCTTGAATGAGATTTTTAATTCAAAAACATTAGTGTTAGTTGACAAGAATTTACATTAATACTTGATTGGTTAGGATGTAAGAAGTTGAAATGTCATCCTCTATTTAGCTATTGATTTTTTAATGAGAAATTTCAGCTACAAACAACTATGTCAATACATCTATTTGTGATGTATTTCATTTAGCCTGTATGTAAGTGGTAGTTTCCAAGTTTCTAAGATTGTTGACATTTCTGTAAATGTTATGTTTTGGGAATTTAAGTGGGAAGTACAAAACACAGTTGGACTTCTACTTACTTTGAGGAGACAGTATATCTTGCTTTTTATTACAACCATTCTAGAACTAAAATTTAGGAAACTGTGTGGGAAAGGGGGAAATATACTCATTCAGGGCAGTGTCTTCCACTGGATCAACTCTTTCGTATAATTTTAAGTAGGGAATTTGTGCCAATTCTAAGATTGCCTTCTTAACAGAGGTACAGCCTATGAGCCTACCATGCCTGGCCTCTGGACAGCTTCTCGTTTTATTTTGAGGAAGATGAAAGCTAATACCTGGTTAGAAAAGGTAGATTTCTCTGCGAGACCTATCTTATAAGACATACACAGAGCCACTTCAGAAAATATAAACCATTGCTATGTGAGGAGGGACAGGCTGCTCAAATTCTACTTTCTGATTTGTTATACTCTCAAGGCATTCCTCCTTAAAATTAGCATGTATTTCTTTGCATAATTTTAATGCCATAGAAAAGACACATAAAAATTTCAGATTAAAATGAAAGTTACAGAACCTATATAAACAGAAAAGATACAGAACAAAGTGTACACAACATATAGTGGTCTCCTAAAACTTACAAAAATTGTCAGCAATACATAGTATTTCTTTTGAAGACATAAAATACCTCACAAAATTAGCAAGAATTCAAGCATTAAAAGAAGCAATACTTTTTATTTACTTAAAAACTGCATACCTAGAATCTTCAGCTCAGCACTAGCATAAATGGCTCCATATTTATTTTCAGCCAAACACTGATACATCCCAGAATCTGATTGGTTTACACTGTGGATCATCAATACTCCATTAACTGTTTCAACCCTAATCTGTAATCGAAAAAAAATTAGATGTAAAAAATAAGCAACTCAAAGATTTTGAGTCTGTTCTCTCCTAAATCAAGAAAAAATGGCCTCTAATTTGTCTAATTAAGCATTACTTGGTAAGGTTGTAACAGGTTTACTGTTTACTATTTTATTGTTTATCTAACAAATTAAAACTATGTCTTGGTCAGTGAAGAAAACAAAATATTTTCTACAGTCATTCTTATGAGTTTTATTTTCAATTTAAACTGGCTTTTTCAGTAGACTAGTTGAACTTGTGAAACAAAATTAACATATAATGATTTTATTTGAGTTTTGTTTACAAAGAGAAACTAGAGGAGAGGACGGAAGTGTGGACATACTATAGGTTTAAGCTTAAAAAACTGTCCAATTATTAATTATTTCATTAGGATCTTGTGTACTATTATAGTTTTTCACACCAAAGAAACTATTCGGTATTTCAGTTAAAGAAATAGGAAGTAAAGGAATAAAGATGTAGGGAAAGTGGGAAGGGTGGGGGAAAGGTAATAAGGGAGAGGGAAAAAAAATATGAGAAACTGAAAAAAATGGAAATAAAGTGTTTGTAAATGGGGAGGGGAGGAGGGGGTGAAGAGAGGGCAGGGACAAGGGGGAAAAATGAGAATCAAGACCTATTATGTAAAGGTACAGAATCCCAGTGATGAATGTAACTGTATTGTATACCTAGATTGTACCAATAAACTCAATAAAAAGAAAAAAAAACTGTCCAAGTCATAACAACAATTATTTTACTCTACTGATGTGGCCAGGAGTGAGAAATATCACTTCCCCATAAACTAACACAAAGAAAATACTGCCTTGAAATCAGATTATGTATAAAATTATAATATATATAAAATTTGGCCAGAAAACACAAACTTTATTATTAGAAAAACAACATATATGATCAATGACTGAGGGCAAGCAAACTGGAGTAAATGGAGGCCAAAACTACATTTCTAAAAGAATTGACATTTTCCCAAAGAAGTACAAATGGGTAACAAGTACAAGGAAAAACATTTGCATCATCTTTACCTATTACAGAAATACAAATGAAATCAATTCTTGGATTCTGGCATACCTCCATCAGAATGGATGCCATCAGGAAAACAAAAAAAACCCAACAAATAAAAACAAGGATTATGGTGGGGGGTGACGCTTTCTTCATTGTTGGGTGGAGTGTAAATAAATGCAATCACTATGTAAATCAGTGTGGAGATTCCTCAAAAAACTAAAAATAGAAATTTCATTGGACCCAGCTATTCTTCTACTGGTATATTCCCAAAAGAGTTAGGTCATAATACTATGGTGATACATGCATACCTATGTTTATGGCAGTAGTGAAGCTCTGGAAATACCTGAGATACCCATCAACAGCTGAATGGGTAAAGAAACTGTTGAATTTTGTTTGGCCATAAAAGAATGAATTTATGTCTTGTGCAGGAAAATGGATGGATCCTGAGCTCCAAACTTCAAGGAGACTAAGTCTAACACAGAAAGTTAAATATTTCATGGTTTCTCTAATAGGAGAAACTAAAAATATAAATAAAAAGTAAATAAAGAGATGGTAGGAAACATTGAGACAGACATTCTGGGTATGGGGAAGGGGAGGAACAGAAAAGAGAAAGGGGAGAGAGGATCAAAAAAGATAAATTCCCTAAAACAAATGCAAATATTATATATCACAAACATACTAGCTAAAAGTGTTTGAACAGCCATGTTTCTTTCCTATTTCAAGCAAATCACATTTTACTTTAGTGAGGGAATGCCTTACTTATCAGCAGAGTTACCAAGCAATTTTGACATTCTAAAAATAATCCCATTCACTTAGCAGACATATTATCTACTGGTAGAATTTATGTTTCTTAAAGAATGGGAACAGAAAACTAGCACAGTCTTTTCTCAAAGAATATCCCCATGAGAATAAGAATGAAAGAATCTGTGAATCCATCCCTAATACTTCTTTAACAGTCTATAGTCCTTTTTATTTTTATTTTGGATTTTTGTGAAACTACATCTTGTTTTGGCTTATCTGGCTTTAACACAGAGAATCTGGGAACCAGATTAAATTATGGGGATAATCTGATGCAATTTCTTCATTTTAGAAAGGACCAATCTAAGACTCCAAGAGATATAAAATGCATAAGTGTCTCTAGGCCTGGTGGCTGGAAGGACTTGTGCTCTTAGTCTCAACTTTACACACTGCTCCTCCATTTTGATCATAAATAGTGGATTATTTCTCTGTTCTCCTTCCAGCAAAGAACATAATCAAGGAAGAAAGCTATTAAAATTATTATCATTACTCTGGAACTAAATAATAACCAAAGTAATTTTAAATATAGCACTTAGAAAGTTGCTTTAAAAATCACGCTTTACTAAAAAACCATTTATTATGTCTGTAGTTAGTAGGGCACCACAGAAAGAACAATGCCCAGGACATGCTTACTAGACATGTGATCCTGGGCAATTCCCTTTAAGAGATTAACTCCATCATCTGCAAAGGGAGGGTAACAAACTAGATGGTATCTAATAGCCAGCTAGAGATGACAATGAGTTTAGATGATCATTGATATTTCCCCAAGAATTTATAGCACTGAAAATATTTGGATAAAAAATACATTACTGAAACATGCAGCGATTTAATATTTTTGCTTTTGTATTTGCTGTTTCTGTCTCCAAATATATTAGTGGTGGTAGGAAATGGCTCTCAATAAGAATAAAGAAGCCTATTTTATTCTGTGTACAGTCTTGCTAAAATTACACTGGTACAGGTGAACAACTCCCAACAGTACCTGAGGCAAGAGAGGCGCTCCATTCTTCAGCCAGCGGTATGTGGGCCTGGGTTTACCAGTGGCCTTACATTCCCATCGGAGGGCGCTCCCACTGTCCAGCTGGGTATCGTTCAGTTTTTCTACCCAGTGTGGGTAGGCTAAAAGTATTTAAGCATTAAGGAAAGGTTATTTAATTTTTCAAACACTTTACTCAGTTAAATATTCAGATGGAAAACTTTGCATTTATATATTTTTATTTTTAAAATCCACATAACCATAGATATTCGTAATAAGCAGAGCAATGTATTACAGAACTCTTTCCTGAACAAAAAGAAAGTTAAACACGACCAATGAATATATTTTGATGACATTTTTGTCAAGTACATGTGTTTGTGTGTGTGTGTTTGGGTGTAATTTTGAATCTGCTTTAAAGCAGGTGTTTGCTTCTTCTGAGGCATTATAACTTATTTACTAGGAAGTCAGTTATTTAAGAGGCATTGCTGTTTCAAAATATAGGGATAGCTTAGGTAGGAGTAATACAACTGATCCTACTATTAAATACGTGACTCTGATTTTTCTTTTCTTTCCTTTCTCCGTTCCATTCCAGTCCTTTTCTTCTTTCCTGAAAGGAACTGATTAGTTTTCGGAAAATAATTTTGATTGAAATTTTACTTAATATGTAAATTTTCTTAATTTATCTTCCAATATAAAAGTGTTTTAGTTTTCAAAATTGTAACAGAGGAAAAAACTCCTTTATCAAAAGATAATATTGTTATTTTACAAAGTATGTAAGATAACAGTTAAAATCTTTTATCTGGCCAATTTATAAAATGGAACTCACTATCCATACATATTCTGTTTAAAATACTCAAATATATAAATATATATATGTATGTATATA